TGGGATCCTCCCGGACCGGGGCCCGAACCCCTGTCCCCTGCATTGGCAGGCGGACTCTCAACCACTGCGCCACCAGGGAAGCCCCTGTTTATATAAATTTGATATTCTGTAATCTACTGCAAAGGAGGCAAGAATATACAACCGAGAAAAGAGAGTCTCTTTAGCAAATGGTGTTGGAAAAGCTGGACAGCTACATGTAAAAGAATGAAATTAGAACACTCCCTCACACCATATACAAAAATAAACTCAAAATGGTTAAAATACCTAAATATAAGACATAACACCATAAACTCCTAGAAGAGAACATAGGCAAAACATTCTCTGACCTAAATTGTAGCAATATTTTTTTGGACCTGTCTCCTAAGGCAAAGGAAACAAAAGCAAAAATAAACAAACGGGACCTAATCAAACTTATAAGCTTTTGCATAGCAAAGGAAACTATCAACAAAATTAAAAGACAGCATATGGACTGGGAGAAAATATTTGCACATGATGCAATTGACAAGAGGTTAATATCCAAAATGTACAAACAGCTTATGAAACTCAATATCAAAAAAAAAAAAAAAACAAAACCAATCAAAAAATGGGCAGGGCTTCCCTGGTGGCGCAGTGGTTGAGAGTCCGCCTGCCGATGCAGGGGACATGGGTTCGTGACCCGGTCCGGGAAGATCCCACATGCTGCGGAGCGGCTGGGCCCGTGAGCCATGGCTGCTGAGCCTGCGCGTCCAGGGCCTGTGCTCCGCAATGGGAGAGGCCACAGCAGCGAGAGGCCCGCATACCGCAAAAAAAAAAAAATGGGCAGAAGACCTAAACAGACATTTCTCCAAAGAACACATTCAGATGGCCAACAGGCACATGAAAAAATGCTCAACACCACTAATTATTAGAGAAATGCAAATCAAAACCACAATTGGGCATTACCTCATACCGATCAGAATGTCTATCATCAAAAAGTCTGTATAAAGATATTAAAAAAAGAAAAAAGTCTATAAAAAAATGCTGGAGAGGGTGTGGAGAAAAGGGAACCCTCCAACACTATTGATGGGAATGTAAATTGGTGAAGCCACTATGGAGAACAGTATGCAGGTTCCTCAAAAAACTAAAAATAGAGCTACCATATATCCAGCAATTCCACTCCTGGGCATATATCTGGAAAAGTTGAAAACTCCAATTTGAAAAGACACATGCGCTCCAATGTTCATAGCAGCACTATTTACAATAGCCGAGACATGAAAATAACCCAGGTGTGCATCAACAGACGATTGGTTTAAGAAGGAATAGACACATAAAAAATTTTTTCTATTCTGGAAATTTCATATAAATGAAATCATACAATATGTGATCTTTGGTAACTGGCTTCCTTCACTTAGCATAGTGTTTTCAAGGTTCAGCCACGCTGTAGCATTTATCAGTACTTCAGTATATTGATTTATAATGTGTTAGTTTCATGTATACAGCAAAGTGATTCAGTTATACATTCTTTTTCAGATTCTTTTCCATTATAGGTTATTACAAGATATTGTATATAGTTCCCTGTGCTATACAGTAGGTCTCTGTTGTTTATCTATTTTGTATATAGTAGTGTGTATCTGCTAATCCCCAAACTCCTGATTTATTCCTCCCCACCCCTTTTCCCCTTTGGTTACCATAAGTTTGTTTTCAATGACTGTGAGTCTATTTCTGTTTTGAAAATAAGTTCATTTGTATCATTGTTTTAGATTCCACATATAAGTGATATCATATAATATTTGCCTTTCTCTGTCTGACTTCACTTAGTATGATAATCTCTAGGTCCACCCATGTTGCTTCAAGTGGCATTATTTCATTCTTTTTATGGCTGGGTAGTATTTCCATTGTATATGTGGGTATACATGTATATGTGTGTATATGTGTGTATATATATATACGTAATCACATTTTCTTTATCCTTTCATCTGTTGATGGACTAGTATTTCATTACTTTTTATTGACAAATAATATTTTATTGTATGGATACGCCAAAGTTTATTCATCCATCCATCAGTTGATGGACATTTGTGTTGTTTCCACTTCTTGGCTATTATGAATAATATTGCTATGAACATTCATGTTAATTTAGATTTTTGACATTGTTTCAAAAGTTAGTCAATGTAATTTTTTGTGTTAAAAGCAATAATTTAAGTGTATACGTTAAAAACCTACTGTATTTTTAGAAATTTCATTTCGGCATTGCGTTTTTAAAAATATAGCTGACGTCTCAAAAAAGTCAGAGTATCCAGCTCACTCTTGACGTCTGAGAGGCACTGATGCTGCTGCCTCCAACAAATGAGCCCCTTTTATCCAGTAAGAAAACAAACTCCTCAGAGTCAGAAAAACTGTCTTACTTCCTGGCACAGCCATGATGCCTAAGTATAATACATGCATTTGGTAACTATTTGTTGACAGTATAGCTCTTCCAGAAAGGATGCTATGGAGTGGGAGGATTAAGTGATAACCAATGGGAGGTTGTGGGATGGGAGAGAACAAATTCTAAAGAACAAATTCTAACGCAGGTGTTTTCCTTCTGACCCACCGCCCCCTCTTTGCCGTTAGTCTGGTCAGGAAGATTTCTTTTGATGTAATTCACTAAGGGATGCTAACTTAGATGGAATATGTAAACTAATAAGGACATGAATCTTTGTTGAAAAATGGAAAATTTCTCTAGGTCTTGACCAAGAGAAGGTCAGTATACTGTTTCTCCCACACATTGGGCCAAACAGAAGCTTCCTTTTAAAGTAGGATAGGCAGCAATCCCTTGTCTAATCAACCTGTGGAGTTAGCGAATGTCTGTGGCAGAAGAAAGGAGACGAAAAATGGAAAGACGGGCAATGGAAAGGAGACAGCCGAAACATTCTGTGCGGGAAGACTCTCCTACAACTGCCTCAGTCTGGAAGGACAGGCAAGGATCTCTGGAATATTTTGTCATTATAACAGTTTATTAATATGAATAGATACAGCTAGAAAGCACAAGGGCAAGGAGAATGGATGACCTGCTTCTTTACTGTGAAGCAACAAGTGAACCGATTTCGAAACACAAGAGGAAAATGGAGCTGTCGTGGAGCCCTGCCGAGTTCCATCCTCCAGCTTTTCTCCTGTCCTTCCCCCACACCTGGAAGATCTTCCCTCCTCCCCTCACTCTATCTAAGGCTCGTGCTATCCCTGCGACCCATGACTACTCCAGCGCCCTTCTCCCCTTGACTCCTACAACACATCTGCTGTGTACCCCACAATTCCTACTAGATTAAGCATACTGTCTTTCAAAGGTTCTTATATGTGTGTTTTATAGAACCCTTTGTACACTCCTCAAAGACAAGGGCCATTTCTGCTGCTTCTACTACATCTCCCAGAGTGCCGAAGGCCTAACAGACCCTCTGTTTGGCCTTGCTGACTGACTGAAGTGTTCCATTCAGGCTTCTTGTTCCTGCCAGTGATGCAGAGAGCACAATAAAGTCCTTTCATTATGAAATGACAAAGTCAAAGATAGAGGGGCTGAGAAAGTACTCATACAGAATTATTTATTGTCTCAAATGTCTCATGGCAGCCAGATCTCAGAATCTTCAGACTTGATAGATGTGGAAATAATTTTGATGTATGTGATGGTGCTTTTTGGATTAGTATTTAACTTGAAGTGTGTAAATTAATAAATAGAAACATGGGTTACATGAGTCAGGAAAAGGGAAGATTTTCTTTTACATACTTAACTGATATCGCCCAAAGTTCTTTTGTCCCCCATGTTCAATAGCTGCTAGGTGTTCATAGTGGAAATTATTGCTTTTTATATTTCTGATTGTAACAGTGCAACCAGAAGAGAGGATCTGATTAGGGGGAGAAAAATGGAGAGAGAAATTCATATTGGCTTTATTTTTTTAATTTTTATTTATTTATTTATTTTTTTTTTTTTTTGTGGTACGTGGGCCTCTGACTGTTGTGGCCTCTCCCGTTGTGGAGCACAGGCTCTGGACGTGCACTGCTCCGCAGCATGTGGGATCTTCCCAGACCGGGGCACAAACCCATGTCCCCTGCATCGGCAGGCGGACTCTCAACCACTGCGCCATCAGGGAAGCCCCATATTGGCTTTATTTTAATCACTGAATGTCCCAAAGCTATTTAGGGTGTAAACAGCAATCAATATTTAGGAAAGAAAGCTGGATGCACACTACTATGAGTTCTGGATCTTTCCTCTTCCATGGCAATTTTTTCGGTATTGTGTGCTCTTACGGGATCCCAGCTTAGGATACAGATACAGTTTGTAACTCTACCATGATGCCTTAATCTTTTAAGTATTAAGTACATTAAGGAGGCTCATGAGAATTGCTAATTAGCCTTGTGAAACTGCAGCAATGCTTCCTAGGGATCTAAAAGTGTTCACACCCACCCACGCAGTACAAGGTGGAAAATATTGTACTAGCTCTGTTTTCTTGTAACAGTCTAGTGACATGGCTTCCTTATTGCCTTCTGGGCTGCAGTTAAAGAACTTGCTCTAGAACAAGACTAGACTTGTAGATAGAAAACATCACTTAAGATTTTCTTTCCTAGATTAATGGGATTCTAGTTTGGGTTTCAAAGGGCTCTTTGTATAGCTTACAAAAGATTCTGGGTCTTTGAATATTTCTATTCTAGTAAAATTTGGAGTTCTGACCTATATTTAGTATATGACTTTTCTGGGTTATATAAAAATATGGACTGTCACCTAATGTGATGTCAATTTTCTTTAACCCTCTGTGTAAATGGTGCACATTAAAGAGCCAGGTTTACTGTTAAACAGATTTTTCTTTATAAACATAATGACAAAGAGATTACATAACATCAGTTAAAGAGAAGAATGTGACTAGGTCCACTGCTGCCTGTGTCTTGGAGCAAGAGAAGGGCTCATCCTAGAAATAATTACCTTTCCTTCTAGGGGAAGAGGACATAACCCTGGAAAAAACTTGAGTTTTTACTTAGCTAGAGATCTTGGTTGTCAGATCCAAATGGTCCCATCGCAATTCTTTTTTCCCCGGGCAGTGCGTAGATCTCTGACAAGTGATGAATGACCTCTGCTTCTTGTGCTTAGGCCCGGGACTGGACTCTGTGACCAGGGATTTGGTGTGCGGGGTCTCACAGGCTGCAGAGAGATATTAACATGTGAGCACATGTGCAAAATGTGGTCTCATGTGACAGATCCAAAGAGAAAGCCTCTTCAGCCATGGTTTTATCAGAATAGCTCTGTGAACTACCATAATAAATAAAAGAATAGAATCTATGAGTCCAAGACCTGCCTGTTTTGATTGCAGTCAGCAGCCTAATGTGGAGAAAATGCCTGAATTTCCCACCCAAGGCTTGGACCTCCACATGGTGATCTTTGGGGTTAGGCTGTGTTTTCTATGTCTTTATTAATATGTAGTAGTAGCAGCAGCTATGGGAACTGTAGTAGCAATGACTAAAGAGCTTTATTCTTCATGTGTGCTAAGGTGGATTCACTCAGGGTGAACAGCCCCTGGGGACACAGCGCTGCTCTATTTTCACCTTATAAACCAAAGTAGTGATGGCCATGGTTGAGTTTGTACCTAGGTTAAAGCGTTCCCAGGAATCTAGGCTGTTCTAATGTTAATCTAGGTTTCTGTATTACTCTATGAAATAGTAAGAGAGTTATCTATCTCATTCCCAAATGTATTCTTAGCTTAGGGCCAAAGTACAAATGGAATCCCATTTACTAAACGTCTAAATATTTAAATGTTATAAATCAAGCTAGCAGGGATTTCCCTGATGGTCCAGTGGCTAAGACTCCCACCCACTGCAGGGGGCCCGGTTTGATCCCTGCTCAGGGAACTAGATCCCGCACGCGGCAGCTAAAAGATCCCGCGTGCCGCAGGATCTTCTAAGACTGGGCGCGGCCAAATAAATAAATAAATATTTTTTAAAAATCAAGCTAACAAACGGGTTTTTTTTTTTTTTTTTTTTGCGGTACGCGGGCCTCTCACTGTCGTGGCCTCTCCTGTTGTGGAGCATAGGCTCCGGACGCGCAGGCCCAGTGGCCATGGCTCACGGGCCTAGCCTCTCCGCGGCATGTGGGATCTTCCCGGACCAAGGCACGAACCAGTGTCCCCTGCATCGCAGGCGGACTCTCAACCACTGCGCCACCAGGGAAGCCCCAAACTTTTTTTTTTAAATATATATTTATTGACTTGGCCGCACCGCGTCTTAGTTGTGGCATGCAGGATCTATTTCCCCCGGGCTTCCTGCATTGGGAGCACGGAGTCGTAACCACTGTACCACCAGGGAAGTCCCCAAACTGTTAACTAAAATACATACTATCACCTACATTGACAAAAAGACCAGGTTTGAATTTGGAATTTTTGCAGTCTTTGGAGCTCCTTACCAGAATATGGTGGTGCAGAAAAACTGCATTATAAATAAATGCTCCATGTTTTTCTTTTGTGATAGGAATTAAGCAAAATAGAATACATCAGAATTGTGTATTTGCAGGGAGCAAACCTGTAGTGGTACTACAAATGGTGAATTTTTTAAAATTTTAATTTAATTAATTTATTTTTTGGCCATGCTGTGAAGCATGCAGGATCTTAGTTCCCCAACAAGGGATGAAACCTGTACCTCCTGCAGTGGAAGCATGGAGTCTTAACCACTGGACAGCCAGGGAAGTCCCTTGTGTATGTATATATCTTCCTCTTTCATTAAATAAATAGGAAAATTTTTATTATGATGTCTAATGAATTTAATGGGATTATTTGTGATTTTTATTTTATTTTATTTTATTTTTATTTATTTTTTTTGTGGTACGCAGGCCTCTCACTGTTGTGGCCTCTCCCGTTGTGGAGCACAGGCTCCAGACGTGCAGGCTCAGCGGCCATGGCTCACGGGCCCAGCCGCTCCGCGGCACGTGGGATCTTCCCGGACCGGGGCACGAACCCGTGTCCCCTGCATCGACAGGCGGACTCTCAACCACTGCGCTACCAGAGAATCCCTATTTGTGATTTTTTATATTGGGTCGGCCATAAAATTCATTCAGGTTTTTCCCATAAGATGCTACAAAAACCCGAACGAACTTTTTGGCCAACCCATACTTGACTATTCTTTCATTAATCTCAAAAGCCTAACCCCAAAGTTTGATATATGCCCACTTACATATATGCAGAAAGAACACCATGCCTTGTATAATATTTCTTATTTCACAAATAACTTACAATTTTAGCTACATATTGTATTGTATTTTTGCTATTTAAGGAATAAGAACCAACACATTATTTATTATCTTGTTTTTCATTACTTAAAAAATTGAATAAATCAATTGTGATGGGCCATATCATTTTAATTTTAACTTTTAATTTTGACTTTCCAGATGTATTTCTCTGTCAATACTTGTATTATATTCTTTGAATATTATACTTGAAATGAAAAATGAAGTCAAAATAAAAAGTCTCACCTGCATATGAATGTTTGTAGCAATTTTATTCATAATCATTAAAAACTAGAATCAACCTTCGGTAGGTGAAATGAAAAACAAACTGTGGTACATCCATACAATGAAATATTGTTCACAGACAAGAAATAAGCTCTCAAGCCACAAAAGACTTGGGTGAACCTCCTTGAATATGTATCGCTAAGTGAAACAAGTTAGCCTGAAAAGCCTACATATGTATGATTTTAATTATATGACATTCTAGAAAAGGCAGAACTACAGAGATAATAAGATCACTGATTGTCAGTTGTTTGCGGGGAGGAAGAGAGGATGGAAAAGAGGAAGCACAGAAGATTTTTAGCGTGGTTAAACTATTCTGCATGATACTGAAATGGTGGATACATGACATTATGCATTTGTGAAAACCCGTAGAACTATACAGCACTAGAATGAAACTTAATGAATACAAATTAAAAAAAAATCATTTAGGAGGTTAGGGAATCCCAGGAAAAACCCAGACTATGACAAGAGAATATAACCGTAACCTCAATTTAAATACATATTTTTGTTACAGACAGTGTTATGATGATGAAAAATATTTTCAAGCATAAACATATAGTATATTAGAATAAAATTCTGTCTGGAAGTTATTTCAAAATGGAAATGTAAGCTTAAAAAAAGACATTAAATTTTCAACTTCAAAGAAGAACTTGTTTATTTTATAATTTTTTTAAATGGATGATGGTAGGTATCAAACTTTATAGATTTAGTTCGATGCATTTTAAAGTGATGTAACAGTTTTTTTGTGGGGTTTTTTTTTGCAGTATGCGGGCCTCTCACTGCTGTGGCCTCTCCTGTCGCGGAGCAGAGGCTCCGGACGTGCAGGCTCAGCGGCCATGGCTCATGGGCCCAGCCGCCCCGCGGCATGTGGGATCCTCCCGGACCGGGGGACGAACCCGCGTCCCCCGCATCGGCAGGCGGACTCTCAACCACTGCGCCACAAGGGAAGCCCGATGTAACAGTTTTAATTTAAAATATCAATATATATAAATGCTGCACTATGTAGATGTTAGAAATTAGATGCTTTGTGTCTATTTAAACTTAAAAAAAATGTTTGATGTCAATGAAAAAAGGTGAAGAGGTGACATAGCTTTTCACAATTCTTTTAGAGGGTCCATGAGCAAAAGAGTTGGAAGTTCAACATCCTAGACAGCATCTTACATGATGTACTGTAGGACTTGGCAGACTTCTGTGAAGGGCCAAATATTAATAATATATATTTTAGGCTTTGTGGGCTTGATGGCCTGTGTCAAAACTGCTCAGTTCTGCTATTGTAGTATGAGAGTAGCCACAGACAGTTTGTAATGAATGAGTGTGGTTGTATTCCAATAAAATTTATCTGTGGGCACTGAAATTTGAGTTTTGTACAAATTTTATTTCAGAAAATATTATTCTTCTTTTGATTTTTTTCAACCATTTAAAAATATGAAAATCATTCTTAGTCCACAGGGTGTGTAAAAGTAGGAGTCAGGCCAGATTTGGCCTGAGAGTTATAATTTGTTGATCCCTAATTTACAGTAATTTGGTAAAATAGTTCTACAAATTAGTGAGTCAGTAGTCTCAAAGTTAGACTGTAATCTGTCTCACATTTGCCAAAGCAAAGTCCTATATCCTTGAGGTCTTAAGCAAAATTATTCAGAAATGTATAAAGTTAAACATGAAAGTTCTTCTATTGCCAATAATGCCATTCCCCAGAGGCAACCTCTGACTTCAAATATTCAACTGTGCAGTCACATACACAAATACAACATATGTGGGTTTTTTTTTTTTTTTTTTTGCATTATGCGGGCCTCTCACTGTTGTGGCTTCCCCCACCATGGAGCACAGGCTCTGGACGCGCAGGCTCAGCGGCCCTGGCTCATGGGCCCAGCCACTCCGCGGCATGTGGGATCTTCCCGGACCGGGGCACGAACCCGCGTCCCCTGCATCGGCAGGCGGACTCTCAAGCACTGCGCCACCAGGGAAGCCCCAACATATGTGGTTTTAAAGAAACTATATATAAATGTGTGTGGACTTTTTTTAAAAGGGACAACATATATATTGTGCTGCAATTTGATTTTTCAGTTTACAATACATTTTCAACATCTTTCCTAGTCATTATTTTTAACAAGAATTCTTGAAACTTAGTCGACATTTGAGTCATTTCCAATTTTGAAATGATAAGCAATGTGCATCTGTATATATCTGTCTCTATCTCTATATCTATATATGTTTGTATACATGGATGAATATTTTTGTAGGATAGATTCCTAGAAGCAGTATTACTGGATCAAAGATATCTACATTTTTATGTTGATGGGGTCATCCAAAAGTTTATCCTAGGGTTTCTCAACCTTGGTACATTTAGGGCCAGATAATTCTTTGTTGTGGGGCTGTACTGCATATTGTAGGATGTTTAGCAGCATCTCTGGCCTCTACGCATTAGATGCCAGTAGCATCTCCCCTGTTGTGACAATCAAAACTGTCTCTCGATATTGCCAAATGTCCCCTGGAAGGGAGCAGGGGCAAAATCATCTTGGGCTGAGAACTACTACGCTGGACACTTGATTTTCTTTTTTCTTTAATTTCTTTTTCTCCCTATCCCCCTTTCAACAACTTACCATGTTATCCTTCCTTCAAAAAGGAAAAGTGCTTAAAGGAATTTGTGA